TCAGTACGAAGGTGGCAAGACTTTGGAATAAATTGCCCAGAGATGTTGTGGCTGCCCCCTCCCTGGAGGTGTTCAAGGCCAAGTTGGATGGAGCCTTGAGTAGCCTGATCTAGTTGAGAGGCATCCCTGCCCCTGACAGGGAGGTTGGACTAGATGATCTCCAAGGTCCCTTCCAGCCTAGGCCATTCTATGATTCTATGACAAGAAGCAATTGTTCACATCTCAGTAACTAGCATGAAGCTTTAGCTGGGGAATATGGAAGTAAGGAATTGTCACATGCAGTGCTAAGGGATTCCAAGAATATTTTAATATTGGTGACAAATTTCCAATATTTGGTACTCTTGCTGAAGTGCTCTAGAAATTTTTTCCCTCCTGTTATATGTTAAGCTACTTAAAGAGCTGGTGACGAGATATTGAGAAAACTATTGTCAGTATTTCTGTTTGCACTTTGTCTGTCAGGTCCTTGATCTATATTTCTTCAAAATCATTGTTTCAGAGTTGTAAATTACTTCAAAGCTATAGAGCTGTTTTAGACATCAAGGAAAGCTTAGCTCTCCCTTTGTCTGCTCATTTTTTCTAACGTAACTATTAACTACTAATTTTATTCTTCAGTCAGCCATCTTTCATTAATATCAGAAAACTTGAATTTGTCCATAAATCAGAAATTCTCTTTGTACATTTATTTGTATTGTCCTGGTACCTACCCTTGTTCAGTAGGCAATTGAAGAATATTTTCTCCTCGTATTCTTTGTTGCCTTAATTATTTTCATTGTCAAGAGCGTGATTTAATTATAATGAGAAGCCCATTTGTTCTTTTTTTTAATCATATCCTCCAGCCTCTCTTTAATGTTTTTCAGTCTGTTCTAGAAAGTAACTCCTTCAGATGACGTGGAAGCTGTTGAAAATCCTTCTTGCCATAGAAAGTGGCTGATGTTCAGGAGACCAGATATCTCTAAGTAATCTTGCCTGCCAGTCTTCTGGCTTCTTGCTGTGTTCTTCTGCCTTTTGGCTTTTTTCACTCTAGAAACAGAAAGTCACCCCAATGCCAGGTCCTTTGTATGTGCTTCTTCTCCAATATTCCTCTAAATTCCTTTGCATAATCTGTGATTTCTGAGGTGTTACAGAAGGATTTGATAAATGCAAATATGGATCCTTATTCTCTAAGAATAAAACTTAGTCCAATTCTGGTTATTTCTGTTTTCTTCTCTTTAAAGAAGGCAACACGTTATCTGCCTCTCTGTGAAAGTTATTTCTGCTGTCAGGAATATCAATGTCAGTCATATTTGTTGTCTTTGGAGACACAGATCCAGTGGGAACACCAGTACTCAACTCTGGAAAAAAAAAAAAAAAGCAATAATTGCCTTATTTATTAGATTTTAGGACACATTTTTAATGTAGTAGAATAATTCTGCTATGGCTTGTGGTGAAATTTGCTGGGTGGATGATGATAAAATTTGAAAGAAAACAATTCTCACAGTAAAAAATGCCAATATATCTATCATCTCCTTAATGTTCTATTATCTTTAAAATACCATTTTTTTCAGTAATAACTACCTCTTGTGGGGTATGCCATCTTAGATTTTGTGTATGTTGGTGTTCTGATTTCAAACAGTAGCACAGTTCTGTAGCGCATCCCCCGTCTCTTCCACTTACTGTGTGTCAGTTCAGTTTGCGGAGTGAGTTTCACTTGTGTTCAGACTAGGCTTCACAGGAAAATAAATGCAGAAGCTCTACCTTAAGTATTCAGTAAGCACTTTATAACCTCTAATAGGGATGTAAGGTCTAAACCAGTGATTGGTCCCCTGAGCAGCTTCTGACTACATTGGTTGGAACGCTGGCTCAGGAGCCAGACATGATCTAGTCCTAAGTGGTGTAGAATCTGTAGATGAAGAAGCCTCAGCACAAAGTGCTTAGAGTTGCTGAGCTGTTGTTTTTGCTTCAAATTGCTTTCTAAATGTAGGGTTAGCCTTAGAAACAGAGAAGGCTTTAGCTTCTGTCACCATGCGTTCATATTCATTTCTTCAGTGCTATTTAAACTTGAGTATATCGTTTAGTGAGTAATTAAAAATATTGAGAAAATTCTTGTGCACGCTTTTACTGTTTGGGAGCTTTATTTAAGCAGTCCTTGTATCCTGGACAACATAGGCATAACAGCACTTTCAGAGTATGCTAATAAAGATTAGAACCCTGGGAAAGTGGTGTGATAGGCTTCTCTGGGCAGAGTAAATATGTGATTTGAAGCAAGAATATCTGCTGTGGAGGTCAATTGAATTTAAAACTAATATATTCTTTCATTCTTATCAGAAAAGTCTTCAGTCAGGGAAACTACGTAAGTGGTTTTATTTTTTATCCAATTGAACTGGCTCAAAGATTGTCCTGCTTTTGTCTGTTTTGATCCGTCTGATACTAGTTTCCCTATTTTATAGCTTCATGAATACTATGGATGCTACTATTGCTCAGCCCCAAGGACAAACTGAAAAGATGTTAAGTTATAAAGTATCTGACCTTGGTACATTTTCTGTACATGAACAGAAGATTTAAGACAGTGTCAAAGAGTTTAGAGGAAGAAGAAATCTAATGCCTCTCTAACATAGCAGAATGACTGTGCAAAGAAGGCTTTTAAGTTAACAAGACCATGCAAGCTAATTTGTGACTGATATTACAAATTATGTGCAGATTCCTTCAACTTGTTTGAATTAACTCTAGGGATATTTTTAGAGCAACTTTGTTTGGTTTAATGAAAAATATTTTAAGTCATTAGTCAATGAAAAAGTTATTTAATTATATGAGGGTGTAAATTATCATATGCATATGCCATCTTTATTATCTGTTATAAAATATGTCTGTTCAAGTTTATATCCTTGGTTAAAATGGTCAAGTTTCCTCTTAGTAACTTCTCTGCTTTGCTTGCAGGTCGTATATAAAAATAATGATGTCAGGTTGGAGTTATCTCGACTTGCCAAGCAAGGAGATCCTAAAATGAAGATTCATGGGGTTGTAGCATTTAAATGTGAGAACGTTGCAACCTTAGATCCAATCACGTTTGAAACACCAGAGTCTTTCATCTCTTTGCCAAAGTGGAATGCCAAGAAAACAGGCTCAATATCATTTGACTTCCGTACAACTGAGCCAAATGGCCTGATTCTTTTTAGCCATGGAAAACCAAGGCACCAAAAAGATGCTAAGCACCCACAGATGGTGAAGGTTGACTTTTTTGCTATTGAGATGCTTGATGGCCACCTCTACCTGCTATTAGACATGGGATCAGGTACTATAAAAATAAAAGCCTTGCAGAAGAAGGTGAATGATGGTGAATGGTACCATGTGGATTTTCAACGGGATGGACGGTCAGGTAAGTGCCTTTTTAAAAAAATATTCAGTATGGGTTTTTTGTTGTGTCTGAGAGAATACTGGGTATATATTATGTTGCCACCATTAAAGTTGTGCATCATCTGAGAAGTAAAGCAAATATAAGAAGTAATTACTGTCAGGCAATAGAACACAGTGATTTGCAGAGCAAAATATCTTATGTTAACATTTATTGGGTAATCAGGTACTTAATCTTGCAAGTAAGTGTGCTGTGTAGTTCAAAACCAAACAGTAATCTCCGTATGTGCTTGCTTACACTAAAGAGCTGAAGTGGCAGTTTCAAGAATAGAGATCAAACACAAAAGAATTACTGAATGTGATCTCCAACATAAGAAATAGTTGGCCCACAGAAACAACACTGACCTTCAGATCATGTCAGCAGATCTCTGCGTAATTAACTGATCTGCTAATGAATGGCTAACAACACATATCAGAAGAAATGCAAATAAGTGACTTGCTATATTTTGTCATTATGATTCTTATTCTGTGGTAGTTTACTTGACAAATGTTCTCACTGAAAAGGGTAAAAATAAAGAATTCATAAACTCTTTCTAATGCTACTGAGATTTGTTATAGCATAAAATGTATTTGACTAGTGAAATTGTCCTTGTGTTTCAGCTGCATCTGGTCTTGAGTATATATCTTGACTTCAGCAAATAATCAATAACCATTAACTGAAGAACAGATCTGCTCTATGGTATCTTTCCTATAGTTAATCCTTGGATTTGGAGAGAGAGAATGTACTGAGTGTAATTCAGTCCATCAAAGAATTTTCTGATTAATATCAGTATCTAATCTGAAGTTTTTTCCACTCTGAAATTGAGTGTTGAAAAAATGTAAACTCTTTCTTTGGGATTTTGTGGGGTTTTCCACACTTTCTTCCTTCTGGTGACTCCTTTTCCATGACTTGCATTTGTAATTTCTTTCTGAAACTTCATTCCCCAAAAAGCTATTTTTTTATGACTTCTTACTACCCAGAAATTAAATTTCAGATGAAGTGAAGGTAGGTGCAGATTTAAATTGAAGATTTTGGTCAAATCCATGCTGAAAGTCAGACCAAATTCAATTGATCAGTCTGCCCTAGGATTATGAAAAATAGTGATTATTTGATTCCTGGGCTGTGCAGCTTTGACTTCTAATTGTGGAGAGTTTGATTTTCTGATTATATGTCAGTTGCTTATTTACATTTTTTGAGGTCAAAAAAACCTCCAAAACAAACAAAAAGCTAAACAAAAAAACCACAAAAAGCAAACAATGCACAATTTCTCGAAGTCCTCAATTGGGATTGAATATCCAGTGGTTCTGCTATTTACACTCCAATTTTCATTTCAGGCTTCCTTCTTAAGTGCTGTTTCATTGATTCATATGAGGCAGTAAATCCTGTAATTATCATGCCTGTGGGACTCCACTGAAAGCAAAGTTAGTTCTTACATCCAAAGTCAACACAACTGTAAAGAAAATAAATAAATACCCAGCAATTGTGTACATTTGAAAATATGCTCCGCACTTTCATTGCTTCACAAAAACTGGAGATTACAAGTACCATTAAGAATGTTTAGGGCACACTTTATTTAACTATTGATGGACATCAGCAAGAATGTGGACTGATTTTAGAATGGATGCACCTGGTGTTCAGGAATGCATATTATTTTTAAGTAGAATTATAGTCAAATATGCATGTAAAATAAAAAGTAATCCTGCTGATGAATCATCTATGATCAAGATAAATAAAGTTCACCTTTTCACTCTGAGCATAGTACCTACTCACCTTAAAACACTTCAGTGTTACTACAAATACTTAATAAATATGTAAGCGTATGAACTGACTGAATTTTTAGTCCCTCTGAATTTTTAACTGAAATCTGAACCAGACATCAAAGATTTTTCGTGATTTTAATACATATGATAACACTTCACAGTAGAAGTACCGATAACCATGGCAGTGCTGTTATTTTTTGTAATGGGAACATTGGCTGAGTAATATCTTAGGCTGTCAGATTTAACCAAGTAAAATCACTGCCTGTCAATTAAAAAAACCAATGAACTTGTGTTCCTATTTTCTTCTGATTGAAAGAGGAAGTACCAACATGTTATGTTTAGATTATTTCTTCATGACTTACACATGCTTTTTTTCATGAATAAAAAAATCCACTTTACTATTCGAGGAAGCTTTTTCATTTATTTTCTCTAGTTGAAATCAAATATACTGGAAATCATACGAATGTGATCACTTTTCACTTGCTTACCTTAAGAATTTCTGTGTAAGAATGAATATACCTCGTATTAAAGTAAAAAAAAAAAGAGGCTTTTCTGAGAATTTCTTGTTGCTGATAACAAAATACTTCCCAGTCTATGAGGTAAGGAGGAAGAGATTCCCCTGTTAATGAATAAGTAGCTCAAATAACCTGTGATTTATTTTTTTTTAAAGTGGTTTGATGTCTCACACCCTTTTAGTCCTAGCCTTCAAATCCAGTGCAGAGTGGTTCCCTCAGATAATAGAAAGCTGTGACATTTTTCAAGGAGCTTTCCTAATTTCCTTGACTTTCATATTAGCTGGATCAGCAAGTAGTCGATTTATTTTTCATTCTTTGCTCTCTTCTGGATTCTCAGTCACAGGGAGCATCCGCTGTAAAATACTGACTTTGCCAATGCCTGTATGGGACTGCAGTGGGAGAGATGTAGGGAATGAGAGGACATTTTAAAGTTGTGCTTATCCAAAAACTAGTGAATAGGGTCTCACTAGTTATTCTGCTGATCACCTCAGATTTTGGAAGATACAAGGAAGAGGGAAGAGACAGTGCCCTTAAATTTTCTTTTGCTGAAGGAACTTTTGACCTGTTATTCCTTTAGAAGTTTTTCACCCTAAAGTCATTTCTTGCTGTCTGTAAAACCTATGTTGAGCACTTCCTTACCTTGAAAGCAGATCTTTGGTGAGAAGGAACTCCCAAGACCCTATTTCCCAGCATTAATTAAAGGATGATTTCATTCCTCCTCCACTGCTCCACCTTTCTTGCTAGGTATGCAGCAGAGGAAAGGAAATACATGTTTTCCAGCAGTCTGTCTTTATTTTTATTTTTTTTTATAAGATATAGAACAGAAAGCACAAACTGATGCCAACTGCTGTGTCCTCTCACATGAGCTGAGTTCCCTTCCAGTATTAATGGTTATTCTGATTTCCTGTGAAGGACGGTAGCTTCATATCTGCTTCACATATTCCCTCGAGCTTGGCCATGAGCAGTATGCTGTGGTCACGGTCCTTACCACAGCTATTATATTATACTTTAACACACAAGATGTGAAGTGCATTTTTTTCACCATTTCTTAATAAACAAATACACTTTTCATGTGCACAAAAAAGCATCTAAACAGGCCAAAAAGGAAAGCAGAGAGATCAGAATACTTGTAGTTATAATCTTCGTACTTAACTGATCACAACTGAGACAAGGTTTAGAAATACATTTGAGTTTCTTACACGCAGGCTTATGAAAAAACAAATTGCTGAGATAATGAATATGATTGGAGAGGCTCATTAACTCATACCTAAGGGAAGTGTTTGTCTGTTCTGCTCTTAACTGTACTGCCAACTCTGCAGTAAAACAATTGCGGAAAAAAACAAACTGCAAAAAAAAAAAAATTCAACCCATGATCGTGAAGCAGCTGTAAAGGTCTTCGCTCACAGTTTTCCTTGTAACACAGTAGAGTTAGGTTTAATAACTGTTTTCTGAGACTTGAGTATTGTTTAAAATGTTAAACTGCTTACCATATTCAAGGATAACCTTGCCTAAGATGCGTTCATTCTGTGGAAATCGCTATTAGTGAAATCAGAGGGAACTTACTCATCTTGACAACCTTCAGTTGTGTATGGCAGCGTAAAACAGAATGTACCAGTATGTGTTCATGGGTAGGCAACACGTAGAGGGCTAAGATGCCACTTAAATTTTGTACTGAAGTTAGAGTTTCAGCTAAATACCAGAAATTATCTCTACAGCATGTATTTTGAGTTTAACTATAACCAGTATCTCACTGTAAGTAGTGCTTTGTTGATGTCCATTACATGTGTTGGTGTTGCAGGTTCTTTTCTTTATGGGCACACTTCAGTGTACTCCTTCCCCCATCTTTTAAAAGCTGCCAGATTTATGTGTTGCTATTTCAACAAATGTTAATAGTTTACTATTTGAGATATTTTAAGGAAAGTTCTTACAATGGTCCTGTCAGTGTTCTTAATTTATTCATGAGCTTATAGAAAACTTGAAATGTGGTGACCCTCAGAGGTCCTCTTTTACCTCTCCAGTGAAAGTCATGATAACGTACTTGCATGAGTCTTGACAGGTGTGTGTTTACTAACCCAGCAGCGGACACTGTATAACCTCCCCATTTCATCATTCATAAACCATGTATTTCTATACACAAAACAAGACATTTTGCCTGTAACTTCCTTATTCAAAGCAGGCAGAAAATACACAGAACCTTTTCCTATGTCACAACTCCATACTTTTTATGATTTAAATGCTATTATGTCAGTCTTCAGTTTTCCTCATTGATTAAGAAAACCCACATGCTTCTTATATTTCATGTTCTGCAGCTGCTGACCATTTTTATTCTTACCTTCTGCAGTCTTCTCAGCCCATCTACATCTTTCCTGGAGTTCAAAGTCAGTCTTGCCAGTGCTTCGTAGAGCTGTATGATAGGCTTCTCTACGCCTCCCAATATGTTTCCCATTTTGCTCATACGTATGTTACGGTTGACTTAGATTGTTGACTCTTCCTTTTTAAGAACTGCCTATTAATCAGTTATCCTTTGAGCCAATAATTCTTGATGGAAATCATAATTTCATTAGTTTTTCTCACTGTTCCTCCAGTACATAAGCATGTTTTGGAATGTTTACATTGCATTTTGCTCTGAAGCACTGTAGAATCAATGTCTGTAGATCATTATAAGACCCTTAAATTTACGTCCAGTTTCTGGAGATAAGAAATGATACCTATTTTTAGAGTCTGAGGGTAGATCATGAATTCTCAGACTAAATAAATCACCCTACAATCTCTTATCTTTCAGGTTTTTTTCTTTTTCTTATTTCAGGCTGGAATAAACCAATGCTATCAGTTTTTCTCCATTTATTTCTTTTTCTGGTAGATATACAGACAATATTTCCTACTTTGAGTATTAAAACCAACTTTGTAAGGGAGCTTCTTTTTTTCCTGGCAGACATTACTGCCTTAGCGATGCTCTTTTCAAATAAACAGTTTAACTACTAATGTGGTTATGGGTACTCTTATGCTAAGTACTATGCAAAGATATAACTGAAAGGATGGTTCCTGCTACAAATATGTTAGAATTTAAGGTTATAGTTTTCTCTCTTTTTTGAGAAGCCAACACTCTTCTTAATCTGCTGCTGCTCCATCATATTCTGTTGTCTGGAGATTCTGTAAAATGCAATGCCTCCCATTCTTTTCCCACTTATCCAACATAGCAATTCTGATGTGAGAAAACAAATGATTAACTGTTTCCTGTTCTGACACATACAACATTTTTATGCTCTATTCGCTTCCCTTCTTCCTGCTTCTCTGGAATGTGATATCTCTTCACGCTCACAAGTCGAAACATCCAGATGGATTGGAGCATGCTGTTTATTTGACAGAACAATTCCTTTTAATCTGCCTATAATTCCCAGAGAAATTTGGATTGAAACCTAGCAAAGGGGGTGCACATTACTATCCCCAGATTCTGTGATAGATCTGCCATTGTCATGAAGTCCAACCTGAGATAGTTTCAATAGAACTTGAAAACTTTCCATCGGGAAAGATGACAGGCTTAAAAATCCAACCAACTGAAAAAACCCAACTAGATTAAACAGTACAGTGTAGGCCCATATTGTATGAGCTTGAGTTTTGAATATTATTTTTTTATATATTTGATACTCTTCTTTGCCCCCTCTCCCCATTCTTGGATTTTTTTTCACTTGCATTTGCAAAGCAATTAATAAGTAAAGTTTGCATTACCTAGGTGCGTTACCTAGGTACATAAAAGGTAATTTGGATACCAACAGCAGTGATGGTTGTATGGCTGTCTGGACATGCTGCTAGGAGTTCAGCCAGAAACTAGGATAAGCCAGTAAGTGATAGCATGAAACACTTGATGCCCAGGCATGGGTTTTCCAGTGTTAGTTAGACTAAAGCCTATTTGTATTATAGCCATAATTCCTGTTCTGGACAGTGTGCTGTATTGTATTTTGGTCAAGCTCCTATGTAACAGCTGAGGCAGAGTGAGTTATTAAAAGTCTGAGTCTTCTGCAGGTACCATTTGAATTAGTGTAGCTCTCAACAAAAAAAGATTAATTAAAGCTAACTTACAGTTTTATGATTAAGGGTAATACACAGTATCTAGGTTAGTTGAAATGTCATGGATATGTCCAGAAGTAAATTGAAAATAGTCCTGCTGGATAATAGGGATTCAAAACATGAAAAAGATGCACAGAAGAGTTGTTGCCTGTTTTAGTACCTGTAGTCATTAGATGCTATGATTACACTAAGATTTCAGAGGGTTTCTCTCAAGGGCTATTTTATGTAGTGTCATTTCTTGGGGAAGGGAAATGTTCATTTCTTTAAAAAGCTGATTATATATATTCAAAATAATGCATAAGCTCTCTCCAGAGTAATCCTTTGACATAGAGAAAAAAATTGTCCTGCTTCAATATACTACCTAACTATAATTCACAGTCACAAGAGTGTAGTGGTGATCTACAGTTCCCTTTATCATTCACCTTTCTCAGCCTTCTGTGCTTACAGAACTTACATTTTTAAACCACTGTGTTAATGCCACAGCTACACTGACTGAGATTTACCTGTCTCTGTGTGTTGAAAACCATCAAGGCTTAGTTGATTTTTTTTTTTTTAATAGGTATAGAGCCCTAGATGTCTTCTAGCATCAAGCATAGCTTGAAAACTCTAGTGCAGAAAACAGCACTGTGCAAATACATGAGCTTGAGGCTGGAGATCAAAGTTATCTTGTGCCTTTGGGAGTGCTGCCTAAACACAGGTGTAAAAGCACTGATTCCAAAATTAACCCGTACAGCAACATGGTGCAAGCAGGCAATAATGGCAGTGAGAAATACTTGAGCCCATGTATGATTTGTATTTACAGCACCTTTAGTTTGTTTTTTTAAAAGTGGAAAAGGTGCTATTGCCTATAAGCCATCCTTCTTGATACCTAGGATGCTTTCAGAAAAGTTAGTTATCATGGGTTAACAGGTCATTTACGGGTGTCCTTATTTGATGCAGCTGATGAATAAAATCAAACCAGAATATTTATGCTTGTATGCCTGAAGTCAGATCTATAGCAAGTGTTCCATACAAGTGCCAAGTTTTGCCTCAAGAATCTGAGCAGCAATACAAATATTTAGATTTAGCTAAATATAATAGTTTTATCAGTTAAAAAAAAGGTGAAGATTTGCAAGGAATAGGGTCTTCGTTCAGCATGTCTATTTCTTATTGTTAAGACTGTAAGTTCGCTTTATACCTATGTGATTATTCAACTGCATAAAAAACATTTCTGATAATACAAAAAAGGGGAAACTGACCACATCCTCAAACATTATTTCAGGATGCTCATAGAGATGTACAAAGGCTATGCAAATCATCATCTTCTTAGATCTCTTCTGATAGTAGGGAGGCTGTTTGTAGTAGTAGTATCCCACCCTTCTGAAATCCACGTGTCTTAAGTCTCACATGGGAGTTGGATCTCCTGAGACCTCTACCCCAAAAAGCTTTTACTAAAGGTCCAAACTTTTTAGATATTAATTCTGTCCATGTTGTTCAAGTTAATCTACTGAGCCAAGAGAAAAATATTCAGATAAAATTTGCAGCTTGCACAGAACACCTCTTCATTGCTAGAAATGAAGCCAACATTTTGGGATATATTCAAGTCAGAGAGTGATCTTTCTCTGACCTGTATCTTCTTGCTTAAAATTCACGTTTTGGTGTTCATGCTATAAAAATCCTAAATTTATTCTTCTCATGCACTACTCCCACCACAGTGAAAATATTTTTGTTGATCAGTGTTATCTTCTGGAATCTGTGTTGTGCTGACAGTGGAAATAGTGAATCATACTAGTTTTATATATATGTCATAAACACATTGTGGAAATTGTGATTCTTCAGTGTCTTGTCACCATTAGTACACTTGTAATAATGCATCCAGCAGATAAGTTGTATAATGTGGCTAGAACATTATAAAATTCTGGTGACCTATATAATGTTTTGGTTTATATTTTGATTGCATTTCCAACCATGTAGAATGGTAAGGAGTCACTTTTGTAAAGATTTACATGAGGATTCTTTTTTCAAGTGATTTTTACCTAGTAAATAAAATTACATTTTTTTGCCATCAGTATGTTTTGTGATTCCATATACTAAATGTGGTGGTCTGCCTGTTCAAATTGTAAAAATTGGACATCTTGTTACTTTCAAAAAATGCAGCGAAAACATTCTTTACAGTTGATTACAGTCTCTTTTTTCAAAGACTTTGTAGGAGCAGAACTTTATTTTAAGCTTACTTTTGTTTGTTTACTTTTTTAACTTAAATGGAAAAGATACATCTAATTTCCTGAGGTTCTATATACATCCTCTCCCCCTCTCTTTGTAACACGCACACATTTCAAGGTAAGTATCAGAGGCATTGAATTTCCGTCTAGGTGCACATCACTATCTTTTTAATGATTGCCTGTCTGGCAGCTGATGAGAGTGTTTTCCTTCTGCACTTTAAGAAAAAAACCTTATCCAAAGTCCACTGAAAGTGGAGAGAGTATTTTAAAATATTGTGTCTTTGCATCTAAACCAGAGACACATCTTTGCCTCGCAGCCTGTCAAGGCAGCCTCACTCTTACTGCTTTGAAGCCCATATGAGGTAGTGAGGGTATATTTTAGTTGTTGGGCAAGCAAGGTATTTCTGAAAATAACTCTGAAATGCCTTCCCTCTATCCCTACAAGATTGATAAGGAGGTCTTGACTTTTTATATTGTGACTATGAGGTCTCGTGCATAAATGTTGTTACATCGTTCACTGTACTATGTTGTAATTAAAATAATGCTGCAAATTATTGTATAGTTGTACAAATAGCATAACTATGCTTCATTTATAGATATGTGCCAGGAGCTAATGTGTGGTGTGTAGATTAATGAGTAGAACAGCAGTACCAAAATCTTGTAAATGTCTCAAAAATCTTGTTTTTTCTTCTTTTCTTCTCAGGGACCATATCTGTGAACACATTACGTACACCATATACTGCACCAGGCGAAAGTGAAATCCTTGATTTGGATGATGATTTGTATCTTGGAGGCTTACTAGAAAATAAAGCAGGCCTTGTCTTCCCAACAGAGGTGTGGACAGCACTTCTCAATTATGGATACGTCGGCTGCATTAGAGATTTATTTATTGATGGTCAAAGCAAAGATATTCGACAGATGGCTGAAATTCAAAGTACAGCTGGAGTAAAACCTTCATGCTCAAGAGAAACTGCAAAACCTTGCCTTAGCAACCCCTGTAAAAACAACGGTGTATGCAGGGATGGGTGGAACAGATATGTTTGTGATTGCTCTGGGACGGGGTACCTTGGCAGATCGTGCGAAAGAGGTAGGTTCCTTGAGAGGGCTGCATTTCTGCTTTGTAGAATTCTGCACAATGATTAAAAATGGCAAAATATCATTAACTCTCCTGAGGCAGAAAAAGTATCCTTGATTTCGCTTGACGTGAGGCGGAGCCCTGCTCTAGACTGAAAGAAGTAACTCTAGAGGAAGAATCTTAGGGGAGATTCTAAGATGCATGAAGAAATATTAGTTTGCCATGACAGAGAGTCAGTACTTCTCAATGTATCTTAAAAAATATCTTCCTTTGTGTCTTACCATACATTGCTGAGTTCTGAAAAGTGTTATGAAAGTGATTTCAATTATTGTTGCATTACTAAACTGTCACATTTCCGTTCCAAACTGCTGTCTTGTTCTATGCTTATTTATGTCAATATCACTGTGTAATTAAATTTACTTTAAAATCCACAGTATCACTTAAATCCATGGCCAGAACTTCAGCTGTGAGTCAAATCTAAATAATCCCTGTAGGAATCTATATTTCTTAACTTTTTTTTTAAAAAAAAAACACACCATCCTACTACTCAAGCAAATAGTTTCTACTTATCTTAAATCACTGATTATCCCGCTTCCCGAGGAAAAGGTAAGTGTAAACTTGACAGACCCCATTTATCTAACTGGAAAGGTGAACAGTGGCAAGGAGGACAGATGTTGAGGTTAGCTTATAGGAAGAAAACTCTGTAATTTATTTATAATTACAGAGTGTGCTAATAAGAGATTTTAATGTGAGTAGGTCATGTAGTTTAACCCCAGCCAGCAACTAGGCATCATGTAGCTGCTCACTCACTGCTCCCTGCTGTGGGAAAGGAGAATCTAGGGGCGGGAGGGAACGAAAAAACAGTAACTTTTGGGCTGAGGTAAGAACAGTTTAATAATTAACATAGAATAAAATATAATAACAATAATAATGTTGAAATATAATAATAATAGTAATTAAAGGAACATCATTAAAAGGAAGAATAATAAAAACAAGCGATGCACAATGCAGTTGCTCACCACCCACTGTCCAATGCCCTAGCAGCGATCTGCCCCCCACCCTGGCCAACTCCCCCCAGTTTATATACTGGGCATGACGTGCTGTGCTATGCTAGGGGATATCCCTTGGGCTAATTCGGGTCAGCTTTTCTGACCATGCTCCCTCACAGCTTCTCGTGCACCTGCTTAATTGGCAAAACAAGGGAAACGGAAAAATTCTTAACTTATCCTAAGTGCTACTTAACACACTGATGGTTTAGTCTCTGCTATCGATATTATTCTCAAACTAAACCCACAACACAAAAACTGAACCGGCTAATAGAAAGAAAATTTACTCTACTCCAGCTGAAACCAGGACAGTAGGTAAACAAAAAGCTTAGTTAATATTTAAGTGTTTATTTTTATCCTCATTGGAATAGGAGACGTTTCAGTCTCACGAGTGACACAGTACAGTTCATTTTCAAGCTGATATCTAAACATAAATTTTATTGGCTGGGAAAATAAGTTTTCTCCATGTAGTTTGATTCATTGTTCTAGTTAGTAAGATGAAATGAAAATGTATTTTTAAAAAATAAAAACATGATGAATGTTTTAAATTACACATAAATAGACATTTATGTAGAATTAATACCATCATATTATTAGCATTGGCAAGTAGATTTGCAACTTCTTATGTTTTTCCTGTCTTATTTTTTGAATGTACATGCCTTTGGCTCATGTCCAGTTATTCTGAGATCTCCAGATTGTTCTGTTACTGGTGGAGTGAAGCTGGCAGAGGGCATAACCGAGCTGTCTGATGCATTACAAAAGCCTTCAGTTAAACATGTCTGGTGTACCACCCTGTGGCAAAATTCTGCTATTACATATGGCAGAATTAAAAATAGAGTTTGCATTTTTTTCAACTTGAGAGCTAGAAAACGTACTTTAGAGACAAAAACAGTTCTGCAAGGAGCTTAAAAGCAGGCTTCGTCATAGCAATTTCTAATTAAATATATTTGAGAGGCGGTAGTATTTTTTTATAGAAACCTTTGTCTTTATTTTCCATACTTGATTTTCAAGTATCTTCCAGTATAAATGTTGATTTTGCCAGTACATTCCCCTCATGGGAATAGTGGTGCTGTGGTGGTGCTGGTGGCTTCTCTACAGTGGTATTTGTTTTTTGCCCAACAGAAATACGTGCAGCAGTTCAGACAGAATGGGATAATTTCCTGCTCTTGGGTTTCCCTCTCACGAGGAAACTACGCTGAAAGGAGATCTCTTTCCAGTAATATTCATATCCCAAGTGGTCATGCATTAATAAGATTATAGCTTTTGGGATTCTGCAAGCGATGCATTGGCATCCTACCACACCAAGTTGTTATAAATACTACCCATGTGTAGTAACCGACAAACTTTGGTACTTGGTGATAGAAGCAACACAATTGTAATTGTTCAAACTAATTTAAATAAAATATAAATATATTCCTTTCAAGAAACAATACAGTTTCACAAAGAAAAGAAAGCATTAGAGTAAGATATAGGAGATTAAGCAAATGGAATATTTAACTTAATATTCGGTGATTTGAGATATCTTCAGTAATCAAAAGCATGTAGCTACTTCTTAGGACTATCATTTATATTTCATACTGTTTCCCCTAAAATAGGAGTATTAACATCCATATATGGCTGTATCACGTACAATACTGCATCTGAAATAATTTCAATCACTTTAGCAGTGCACAAAAAATGTGGAACACAGCTCAGTTCTACTTTAATTTCAGTATACTTAAAAATAATAATTTTTTTTTTATACCCATGTGCTTTTTACCCTGTTGCAAGTTATTCTTGATTTTATTCTTAATTTTCAGTAAGGTTAAACATGAGTATAATCTGTAGATTGGCTTTAGTAGATTACGGAAACTACAGCAGATGGATGGACAGATGCCACAGCAATATAATTTGGCTTCCTGTGTTACTTTGATTGTGGATCACAATATGTGACTGCCTTTCAGCAAAGCCATTTGCAGGTGTGTAATTTTGACAGGATGGCTAGGAACAATGCAAAAGAGTAGATGCATCAAACAGTGATAAGAAAAAGTAGGAATACAAAGAAAGATTTATCAAAGGGGTATTTCTGAGGAGAAAATATATTTAAATTAGGGTTTGTGTGTGGACATTTCCACATTGTGCATGCACACATAGCTGCGTACACACACATATAGATAAAAAAATAATTAAATACAGCTCTCATTTCTTGCATTATCTCTGGATGCTCTAAAATTTTAAGAAAGAAGAAAAATACAGGTAATATGATGAGAGATGGTATAAAGAATTGTGTGTTCAAAATCATATAGAAATTCCCTCTCTGAGTTTAATTGGTCCTGTGTGTTAAAGTTCTAGCACCCTTACAGCATAGCTTAAGACCTCAGACCTGAAATAACAGTGGTGAAGAAATTAGGAGGAATCATTTCAACTTCTATTGAGATATTATCTGCATCTCAAGTATTGTTTCTATCAGATTGGTGGAAAAGATTCCTTGTGATTCACCAGCGTGGAGTGAAGTAGCTGCAGATAATGTAGCTGAGAGTACACCTGAGAAGAGAACAAAAGCTGAAAGTTTGAATCAGTAGCCATGAATATACTTGAACATTGACATAATATGAATTTATAGGAGTAAAACCATACCTATCAGTGAGTTTTCAGGACGGGATATTGTTGCTCTACTTATACAGGGTGAGTGAGCAAACCTGAATACTTTGTTACTGATGATCCCAGTTGTTCACAGACTTCCTGGCACGGCTTGGGACTGTGTCATCTGTAATTTTCTGGGCAAAGTTTGTGTCTGATTCTGGAGACAGCAGACACAGAGGGTGATCTCATGTTTTAAAAATGGTGGACAATTATTGCAGGCAATTTGAAACTGAAAAGGAAAAAAAATAATAATTCTGTCTTGGAGACTTTAGAGGCACCACAACGGGTCCAGAGGAAACAAGATCCTGTTTTTTAATTAAAATACATACTGTAAGCATCCATATTTACCAGGGATCATCTTGCTAAAAGTAACACAAACTTGACTGCAAACTTATGAGGAAGAAAACTGAAATTCAAATGCCTAGTTCATACTTCTTTCACTTCAAATTGAATAAGCTGTGAATTGAAGAGAAGCATCTATTCAGAAAATTCTGAATCTGACAGGGCATTTCCAAAGTTAGAAACAGGTGTAAGAAATTTTCTGTAAGAGTAGGTGCCTCAGTCTCTTCAGCAGTTTCGATAATCCCAGCCCAAGTGAAAACTGCAGTCCTGAATCTCTCCTCATATCAGTACTAGACTGTGCATCCTTGGTGATAGGCACAGAACTGATGATGGAGGTTTCTAGTCCTGGAGATTTTATTTAGAAACACACTCAAGAAAAAAACAGAGAGAGGAACTGAACTCTTCAATGGTATTATTTTATTATTATCTTTGTTTCTTTAAGGGGAGTTGGGTTCTTTTTCAGCACAGAGGCAGCAAGGGGTTCTGTCGTGTTTGTAAAAATATCAGAGAAAGAATGCGTGAAATAGTTTTTAACGGTCTTTGAATTATATCTTACCGTTTATTTCATGTTAATAATTCCACCATGTGCATTTATTTGCTGCCACAAAAAATCATTAGTAATGTTTTGTAAGGATTTTCTGCGATTTCTCTTTTCAATGCTGTGCTTCCAGCACTGAAATGGTAGTAAAATTATTATTCCCTGCTGTAGAGACTCAGATTCTTTTAATGAATAGCACATTCTGAGCTAAACTTATGGTCTATTAGCATTTAATCTAATAATTAAGAGGAAGCTGAACAAGAAAAAAAAAAGAGACATTCTGCCAACATTTATGTGACAGAGATTAGCAGTGTAGATCTCAAAGAAAGATGAGACACATACCCCTTTGGAATTAGTCGATCCAAATAAAAAAAAAAATTAAAATGTTTAAAAAAAGTTAGGGGCAAAAATTAATACATACTTTTAGCTAAAATTTTACTTTGAGATTTGCATAACTCGTGTAACCCTTACTACCTCTCCTTGTCCAGGTCACTATCTTACTGTGACCAGCCCTTGCAAATTAAAATTCCGTTCTGGACAATGTAGGATGGAAGTAATTCTGTGAAACAGTTGAAACAATCTCTGGTTCCAAGAAAGTCAAAACAAAACAAGTCCCTCTTATTTCATATTCAGAACTGTTTTCTCCTACTGTGAGGAAAACAAAGTTCTCTGTTAATGCAGGCCACCAAGCATAATGATAGGGTAGTGGGGCATTGCCACAAAGAATTACAAGAAAGACATCAGTAAGGGAAAAGAGAACTCCTGGTGCTGTTGAAGGTCTCCTGAAGGTCTTGGATGTATGCTGTCCAGCCAAGACCAAAAGAACACCAGAATTTTTAGAGCTGAGAGTGGTCCTGAGTCAGGTGGAAGAGAATAAATGATTCACGTGGCAAAATCCAGGTTGCCACCCCTTAGAAAGGAACACAGTACTGAAAAACTATCATTCAACCTTATTAAGGTAGCAATAATTTATTAAATGTTTTAACAACAAAAGTTCATCCTGACAACAAAAGGTTTTCTTAACAGCACTTGTACCAGCAGACTCATTTCAAGTGAGTAAACTGAACATAGTTGTATTTTTTATTTTAGGAATATGTAGTGTCTTTGATCTTCAGTTACAGCTCTCACGGCAGTGCTAAATCTTCTTCCATCAAATCAGCCCTGCTTCCTCCCTGTTTGGTTTGGTTTGGTTTTTCTTTTTTTTTTCTTCTTTTTTTTCTGTGATACGTTTGTATTTAGAAAGGTTGTGACTTAGAGCTCCTCATACTGACAGGAGCTAGTGGACATGAGAGAGTTTTCTTACTGCCCCAGAGCTTTCAAGTCATTTGATTTTCTGTTCAGTCTCCTTGGTCTGTTCTTTGGAACATCTGTTTCCAGAATAACTGGCACAGTATGGTTTAGCAGGATTGAGTATCTAATCACATCAAGTCTGTTCACCATGGTGTTAACTACTCTCAGGTCATCTCTGATTAAATTAAGACAGTTCTGTTTCTCCTGTCTCTGTAATTTTCTAAAACACTTACTAATTGTAGGTAAGCCAACAAACAGTACCAGTAGTGATTCTGACAACTTTCTTTTACATTATTACAGGATAATTTATTAGCAACAGACCTCTAGTGTTGTTGAATGCTGTTCATCCTATAACCTCTGATTTTGCTAGTTTTATGAAAATGCTGAATGTTAATCCACTGAACGTGGTTTGTTTAATGGACAATATCAAATACATTTTATTTTCTCTTATACTAGCATGTGACGTAAACTTTTATGCCAGACTTGTTTAATTACCTAAATTGTGTTTACCTTGACAAAGGTCTTGGGAGTTTTTCATGCACAGACTAGACAGGGAGATATAGGCATGAATTGTAAGCCACACACCCTCCAAAAAAAATTTGCTATCAGTATTATCAGTCCTTGACAATACTATTGCGTGTAGGACCACAATACACCTTTGCTGTCAGTAAGTGTCTCCATTATACAGCAGCAAACTGAAGCATAGAGAGGCTACCAGTAGGTGTTCTCTGCTGTCTCTCTGCTTGTTGATCATTTGTCCTGTTACTGGGCAGGTAACTGATATCTTTTTCAGTGAGTTAAGGTGCCCTCAAGATTGCATCTTCGTCTAAGGAAGTTTCTGTAGCTTCCTGTTTTGATCTCATCATCTAACATTTCAACAATTTCTGAGACTGAAGGATTTGGCGTGGGTTGAAGAATGCTGGTGACACATGGAAGAAGGTAGAAGGTCTCTAGGGCATTAGCAGTAGCTAAACAATCAGATGTGTGTAAAGCAAGGCACATGGAGATATTTTGCCTTTCAGGTAGTGATTGTAGTTATGTGGTATGGTTAGTTTTGTATGTTACTGGAGAGCCTACAGAAATTCCTGGTGCTCTGCCCACTGACTGTTGGCTTGGGGTGAGGGATGTTGGTCAGTCGTGACTTTTTCCACCACGGTGTGCCACAGTCAGAGAGCCTGCGCCAAGGCTGTCGTGGTTGACTGGTCGCATTGCTTGATTGTCCTGCAAAAAAGGACTTCTCAATATGCCCCAGGAACAGATGTGTCCTTTTGCTTTCTAGGAATTGCTGTGCCTCCCTGTGAGCAGAAATGCTGCCTTTCTGCTACCTTTCTTATTACCAGCCTGCAGGCTGGGCAAGGAGACCCCGTGGCTGGTTGCTCTGGGGTCTCACAGGCTGTGCCTGCTCTGTGCCAGAGCCCCACGCCAGGAGGCTTTCCTCTAATGTCCGAAAGTGACATTAGGGTCTTTAAGATCTTACCCTCAATATGCCAAGTCCAGTCTTGTCTCTCCTATTGAGGCTGTCGTAGTGTTCATATGTGTGTGTTTAATTCTGTCATACGGCAATCACCGTGATCATGGAGCAACCTGCACTCCGTCCAAACCCTGCTGGGGAATTTTACCAGTTGGCTTTTTGCAAAGTGGATGATGTTTATTAACTGTGGTGGTTTATACGTGAAATATCCTGAGGTAATTATCTAGGTGGATGATAGTCAGACAATTTAATAGGCAGTAAGGTTTACCTGAATACCTTTTACTGGCTTTGACCTATTTTGAGTACTACAGGTCTACTCTTGCAAGCATTTCTTTATGTGTGATTTTTGCAGATCTGCTTCATATGCATACACAAATGGCTAGTTCATTAAAGAGCAATTTAGCTTCTTTGGAAAGCACCAAACTATGCCACTTAAAAAAAAACCTGAACAAAACCTAACACAAAACCCCCACCAATTTTGCTTATGTTTCCCAGTAGTAATAGTGATATGAAATATGTAATTTTTCTATGTCATACTGAGTGAATATACATTTACCATCTTCTCTTTGAGCAGTTTCAGTAAATACAGTGTAATTCCCTAATAACTTATTTTTCCCTTTATGTTTTCAGAGGCAACAATTTTAAGCTATGATGGAAGTATGTTTATGAAAATACAACTCCCTGTTGTGATGCATACTGAGGCGGAAGATGTTTCTTTACGGTTCAGGTCTCAGCGAGCTTACGGCATTTTAATGGCAACTACTTCTAGGGAATCTGCAGACACCCTTCGTTTAGAGCTGGATGCAGGACGAGTTAAACTAACGGTCAACCTAGGTAACAAACTCTTCCTCCCAGAAATTAACATTTTCTTTACATTTTTCTTTTTGCTTGCGAACATTTATGAAACGGCCTGTTTTAACATTAAAAGTAAACTGAAATGATATATAAGCACCTGTCAATGCAGCATTTGCGTATGTACATACACACACAAACACATGCCCATTATTATACTTTATTTTGTTTTCTTTTGCATTTTTGTATTCTTTATATAGTCTTAACATAATCCATTACAATATTTTTGTACTTTGTGTATTCTAAAAAGAGAAGACTAGTTCATCAGTGGTATATTTTGGGCTAAATTTTTACTCTTCGTTGTGGAAGACTGGTCTCCCTCCACAGCTTCTTCACAGTCCCAATTCCACAGTTTAAATGTGCAAGCTGAAACGACATGTATGTAGGTCAGCTCAGTTTTACCTCCACTAATTAATGTACGACATGCAAATGTATCAAAGAATTTCTAGTTTTAACACTGAAAATGTTGCAATCGGATATTCCCACTGATGGATTTCTTGGTCTCCTTTTTTTAGGTGTCAAATCTATAGTAAATCCATCTCCTCTTTTTTAAACAATTCTGTAGTGGTATTTTTTGTAGTATCGAACGATAACACAACCCTTCAATGCCCAAAGACTGCGGCCCTCAGCAAACAGCCGTGTGAACAGAGGAGGCACAAGCCCTTTTACAGAAAAATAAACAAACAAAAAAGTAAAATGATATATTAAAAATAGATTGGGTTTCCCAGTTTGAAATGTGATGGACAAAATGTTAGGTTATGGTTTTCTCTAGTTTTTAAAAAATAAATACAATTTTTCTGCCATGCTTATGAAGAAATGTGAATCGGAACCTGAAAGAGAACAGAAGTATGCTCAGGAAAGTGCACATTCAATGCAGTCATTCCCATTCAGTGGAATGCTATTTTTAAAGGGAATTAAGTATTATATTGTTTTAATCACAGAAAAAAAAATATTTTGAGAAAGCATGGAGGGGGATAGAAAAGGGAAAAAAAAAAAAAAAGAAAAAAAGGACTCATTTAGTCTTCCACTTCATACAAGTGCTGCTTCACTGCAACACTGCCCTGATGTTTTAGATTTAGATTTAGATTTTGGGAAGAGAGAAGGAGAAGGGGTCCCCCGGTTTCCTCTTCTCTTACAGTCCCCTCTAGCGCTGAGCCGGGGCTGGTGCAGGCT